TTATCTCGTAATCTTGCGGCGCGAGTTCGAATCCGCGTAGCGGTGGGCGTCCTCGTGGTATACTCAGCAGGCGTGCGACTGGTGGTGGTCTCACAGCACTGAAGCGCCGTTACGGCGTACAGCTGACACATTATTATTTTATTATCGGCCATCACCTCACCCGCTGTGACTGACTTGCTCAACAGGTCAATATCCGAAGGTTAATTGCCGAGAAAATGAAAATGCTCAGTGGTTAAACAGATTCCGAAAGGCGGTGACCTTGGAAAAGTGGACAACTACAAGCCGATTTGTCTGACAGCTATTTTGGCCACGGTTACCGAGAAGATCCAGAAGAAGGGTCTACTACAGCTGCTTCATTCGACAGATCTACTGACGCTAGGCCGTTCATGCATTACCAACCTGTTGGTGACGAGGCATGAATGGTTGCAGGCAGTAAATAAGGGGAAGTCTGTCGACGTAATTTACATCGATTTCAGTAAACCGTTCGACAAGGTAAACCATGAGGTCTTCCTCCACAAGCTGTGAATGTGCGGTGTTGTTGGATCACTGCACCAGTGGATCCAGGACTATCTCGTTTGGCGAAAGTGGAGAGTACAGCTCGGCAGACATCTAACTGACTGGTGTCACTCTACAGGTGAAGTGTCGCAAGGCGCGGTGCTGGGGCCCACCCTGTTCCTAATCCACATCAACCATTTACCCCAGCTTCTTCGGTCGCCGTGGGCCCTGTTTGCGGACGACCTGAAGAATTGGAGAGAAATTATCACCTCAGACGACTGCAGCCTACTTCAGCACGATTGTAACCGCCTCTCCATGTGGTCTGCGGAAGTCCGCCTCCCGGTCAACCCATCCAAGTCGGTATTTATGAGCCTGGGGAAGGGTGGTGATGGCCGAATTTACACTATTGATGGCCAACCGCTACGTCCCACACCCTCCGTGAAGGACCTAGGTGTACTCTCGCGGTGCGATTTGAAGTTTGTTGACAACACGAACAGACTATATCATAACGGACTGCACATGCTTGGGCGATCAAATGTAGCTTCTGTACTTGGTCTGAAGTGGTCGCCACTCGCCTCTTCTCTTCCATCATAAGACCAATACTGGAGTACGGCTCACTTGCCTACCGCCAAATCACATAAGGCGATGCACAGAAGATCAAACGGGTCCAACACGTCGCAACCAGGCTCATTTCGGGTTTACGGGAATTATCGTATGAAGACCGGTGCGAGAAACTCGGACTCCACACCTTATCGGGTGCGAGTCGATCTCATCATGACCTTCCGTATATGACATCTCGGTGACTTCCCCATAGTGAAGCCGTTGCATCATTTGCGAACGCAATGCAACACACGCGGACACCGGTAAAAGCTTGCGGTGTCGAATATAAAACGATTACCCCACCCCCTGTGCTTCGAACGGAGTGTTAAATGCTTGGAACAGTCTGCCAGAACAAGGCGTAGAGGCTAAATCTGTACAACAATTCAAAACGTTATTGGATTGGCATTTCAAACCCATTCGGTTCAGAGAACGATAGCACACTAGCAATGACATCTTGCATTTGTAAAACCTGTGAAAGTGTAAGACAGATACTCTAAAATGCTACGTAAGAACTTGTCGAACGATTCCATTATCATGGAGTGCGGACAATTCTTACAATACTTTTGTCTATAATGCGATGTATTTGTAGAGATTTATATTTCTACTTCCTTCCATATACAGTATTTAGTATTTAAAGAGCTCCGTCGCAATAAAAATGCATCGTGGACGGAGAAGGCGAAGTAGAGGAATGCTGCCAATAAAAGGAATCCTTTGACACCTTGAAGGCGATGTATGGGCCGAGGTTGAAGCCGCTGAGGACGCTGCTCGATGACAGTTCAGGCGATGCCTGCACACAGACTGCAGACATATTGCAGATTTGGCGAAAACACTTTGATTGCATTTTGAACAACCGTTAAGAGATTGACTGGACTGTGTTGCACAGGCTGCAACAACAAGAGATAAAAATGCTTATTGCCGACGCACCGACAATATATGAGACGTAGAGGGCACTTACTCAGTTGCGAAACGGCAAGTGTGCCTATGCGGACGGCATCGCGCTTGAAGTATTGAAACAGGGTGGACCCGCGTTGGTGACTGCCCTACACCACTAGGTGCAACGCATGTGAATTGAGGAGGAGGTGCCTCCTGAGCTGAAGGATGCCCTTGTGCTACCACAGTACAATGGCAAAGGGAACAATTAATGTTGCACGAATTATCGTGGCATCAACTTGCTGAGTTGTGTGGCCAAGGTGCTTGCTCGAAACCTGCTCAACCGCCTCGCCAGTCAGGTTGTGGAACCGAACGTGACGGAAGAGCAGTGTGGATTCCGTTTGGGTCGCAGCACCATCGATATGGTGTTTGTGGCTCGTCAGTTGCAGGAGAAGTGCAGAGAACGACACCAGCCATTGTACTCGCTTTTTGTTGACTTCACCAAGGCATTTGATACGGTGAACCGCGAGGCATTGTGGCTGATGTTGGGTAAGTTTGGTTGTCTGGATGAGTTTGTAAATTTGATCGAATGTCTGCGCAGTGGTATGTGGGCGAGAGTGCAGCTGAGTAGACAAATCTCGGATGACTTTGCAGTTGTCTTTGATGTGAAGCAAGGCTGTGTGTTAGCTCCTGTCCTGTTTAATATTTATCTTCATGTCATGATGTCTTGTGATCACAGTGTTTGTGTGGAGTACCGTATTGATGGTGGGTTGCTGAACATCCATCGTTTCGGGGCGAGAACCCTAGTATGTTAGACAACTATCTGTAAGTTGCTGTTCGCTGACGACTGTACGTCGTTTGCGCACAGCGCGGATGTGTTGCGACACATGACGTCGGCTCCCTCTTCGACAGCAGCCAAATGCGGGCTCATCATCAACTCAAGGAAGACTCTTTTCCAACTTTCACCCGGAATGGAGTCCTTGGGCCTGCCCCAAATCCAGGTTACCGACGAAGTATTGGAAACCACTCCGAGATTTTGCTACCAGCTCACTGTCGGGTCGAAGTTTCTAGGATACAAGTCTATGCTGCTGTCCGTCCTTCTATATGGAAGCGAAAGCTTGACGCTTTATCTGAAGAATGCCCCTTATCTGGAGCGATTACATCAACAGTGCAACGTATCATGCGCATCGGCTGGCTTGACCGAGTTGCAGACACGGAGGAGGTCGACACAGTGGCATGTATGCACTGGACTGCATACTTCTGCTGAGGTGGCTCGGGCATATTCGCCGCGTGGACTCTACCCGAATACCGAAACATCTGCTTTATGGCCAAATGCATGCAGGGAAGCGGTACGTGGGAAAACCGAAGTTACGTTACCAGGACATGATCAAAGTGAGCCTATCACGTTCTAATATTGATTTCACGTGTTGCTAATCGAAGGCTGTTGATCGGCTTGCATGGTGAGAGCATATCAAGAGGGCGGTTGCCTAGGTGCAAGAGAAATCATTACTGCATGGGGAAAAGTAACGTCGGTTAAGAAAACGGAAGGGGTCGATGTTAGATAGCCTATCGACGTCGAGCGCATTGTGCTATGGCACATGCAGTCGTGAGTGCCTCAGCTAAGCGGGTTTGGTAATCGCTAGCGTCGCCACGTTGGTCCAACATCTAAGAAAAGACGAGTGTTTAAAATATGTAATCATCATCAGCGTTGCTCTTGATACTTTCGCTGCTTCCGATGCAATTTACTAGCCCAGGTCAATAAGACGAATGATGTGGTACGTGTGCCGCGTTGTCAGTGCAGTTGGACTGTTGCGTGTGGTTGGGTGACGAGATGCTTGCTGTTGTTTGATATCCCTGGTGTGGCTGCGCTTGATGTGAACAATGACAACGTGCCTACCCGTCTATTACCCACCACCTCGTTTATAATGGCTCCAAGAGGCAGATGGTCGTTGCTGGAGGGGACAGGGTGCACGTTCCTTCTGGGCGTTATAGGTTCAAAGTGTGGTTCCATGCATCCAGTGTTGAACGGACTACGGCCCAGCCACCGCCTTGTGTACGTCTAGTACGCATGAAGCTTCTGGACAAACACTTTGCAGAGGCAAAATATAGAGAGCGAAAGGATAATTAATAAGTTAATGTCCAAGAGGGACAATTGATGCAGCTACACAGAGTATGCTCTACTCGCTGCTTCTAGTCAGGATGTATATATATATATATATATATATATATATATATATATATATATATATATATATATATATATATATATATATAAAGCTGGCGACATCCGTTTCGGATTTGCCAGTCACTGTGGCTTTCATAGGACAGTAACAGGACGCTTGCGGCTACAGAGGGACTATGGGTGATTTGCGCTACACCAACCACACACCCCACATACAGTGTAAATCCGAAGTAATAAAATCGGGAGGCATGTGGTTGGGAGCCATGTTTCATCAGCAGAGCCGGCCCACTCTCCTTCAACAAGCAGAGCACAGTACATCTAAATAGAACTAATTGAGTTTCTCATGGGCTACAGATTTATTGGTTGTGTGAACTAAAGTGTAACAAGTGTAACCTTGGTTACGTACTCGGCGGCACAATGGATGAATGCGAGCCGCAGTTAAAAGTGGGAAAGTAAGGTGTTCCGATCAACGCTGTATGCGCATAGATCGTAGCATCGCAGTCCGTTGCATCATGATGCACCAAAGCAACCGTGTTTCCAAATGCATTCCTCAACTGTGTTTGGCGCACTTCAGTTAATTTACTTGGGTCAAAATAAGGTAAAAATGTTTCTCCTTTAGCCACCCGGAGGCGTGTCGGTGATACAGCACTAACCGACGTTTACCCTGCCAAAAGTTAACAATGACTTCCAAGAACAGAGAGTGTGATAAGAGGGAAACTGATTAAACACATACTCGGGGAAAATACTTGGGACCGATCGACAAGTATGAGTTCAGAGAGTTATGAGAAAGACAAATACATCAAATGATTGTTTACCAACCTCTCTAAGATGAAACACAATTTTTGTGACTCACTTGAAGTGAGCCGCGATCGAAGATAGTAAAAAATCCCTCGAGGAAGACCAAACCCAATGTGGTTCCTACACGACTTGGTTGAATTCCAAAGGCGAAGCAGTCGCGCAACTGACCACGTTTGGAAGTCCGTCCTACGTAACGAATGTACTGCTGTGTGCAGAAAAAAAACACAGAAACAGCAAAGTCTTCGGTTATGGTTTCCAGGTTCCACGTGTCTACGCAACCACAGTGATACAAAACGATCAGCGCCAGGTGTGGTTTGATGAAGTCACCCATGAAACTATATAACTTCGGTAGTTCGGTTTTAGATTAGGAGTGGAATAAATGAGTGGCAGTCCCGTTTCTTCAGGCGATTTATGAACCGAAGAGGCCGGATCAAAGAAAAACGATGTTTGGGAAGTTATTGATGGTTGTAGCGTACGAACCCATGGAGAGTGACCGGTTTTTCCCAACATTATTCGTAGCTATGCAAGCCAGACCCCTATCCTCGAAACAAGAAACAGGGTATTGTATGTAACAGTTGCGGTAAAAAGCAATCTGAGCCACAGGCCTCACACAGCAACCCGGCATAGTCACGAACAGGATGTTACATTCTATTGATAGATAGATCGATTCAACAGTGCAGAATGTAGACATGAAAGACCATGACGGTGAGTTAACAACCAGTCTATTGGGCTCTCATATGCGTCAAAAGGAATATGGCCTGCTGACTCTATAGGTTGGAGATATCATCATCATCATCATCATCATCATCATCATCATACACGTTAGCTAGAGGTGGGGAACACCTCAGCTACTGTGCCGCAATACAAAGAAAAAAAGGAGAGAGAGAAAAAAAACAACTGGTGAAAGCTGGCTGAGCTACCGGTAATGGATGGGCATCGTTCCGGTAAGCTACCAGCCGGCTGCTGTGCACCCAAAAAAAATTATTATGCAAAATTATATAAGGCTAAATAATGAGATCGTGGTTGGGGGGGAGGCTAAGAGGGATGGGGTGGGACAAAGAAACTCATAGCACGAACGCCCCTAAGGTCGGCTCCTAGCCATATCAGCAAGTGTATCCAACCAAACGTGTTCATCGTCTTTCGGACCCCAACCAGAGAGCCGTGACGCTCCAACCGAAGCTAACTCCGAAGTGAGGGACTTCATTCCCCTGGACCAAGTCATCGCTTGGCCACCCCTCCGCTTCTTCCATCCACACCCCCGGCGCGCAAACAACACACGTCACGGAAGTCGGTGGGCTGGCATGCGTAACACGTGGCCGAGCCATCGGAGCATGATGCGTGAAATAACGGTGCTGAGCAGTTCATTTCCTTTTCCTGTGCCATAGGTTGGAGATAGATGCTCGGTGTCACACATTTAAGCGAAAACGGTTAATCTTACGGGTCGTTGCAGCTTCCAGTTAATTAAAATTGGGTCCTCGAACCAGAAGCATAGAGTGAGTACCCCAATTATTATCGAACTTGGTTGCGTGTCTTAATAATAGCCAAGCCCACAGATCACTGACTGTCAGGCACGAATACTGCCACTGGTCGACATGCCTACCTGACAAGTTGTGGCGTGGCCCATTTTTCGCTGATGTGCTCGCCTAAGCCTATAAAGCTGGAGCACGACTTCCCAAAATGCTCCAGAACTGTGGCCTGGTTAGGGGAGCGAACCGATGGGTTGTGCGAGAGGTGTGAGTATCCTGTTCTGTTAGACCAATTTTGAGGCAATCGCAGAGAGGAGAGTGAGGCACTGAAGATCCTATTGAAGGCGGGATCAGAAAATTGGAGATGTCAGTCGGGTAAATATGGGGGCAGGAGCACGCAAAGAATGGTAACAGATGACGTGGAGTTAGCGAGCTGACAGGTGAGAAAGGGAGACATCCCGTCTACAATAAGCATCCAATGCCTCAAGAAACTATACTGTCCTCTGCTAACGAGCGTACTGTGTGTACGTGTTTGACATCACCACCAGCGTGAGAGTAGGGTGTAGCGAACTCATGCCGCTCTAAGCGACGGAGGCAGCTGAATTGCGCAATATTTTCGCGGGTGACTAGAAAGTGGAAATTCGGGTATGCATTATAACACGAGCATCATATCTCACTCAGCCTCTTAGTAGTGAAGCGTCATCCGTAACAACGGAGTTTACCATATGCATGTAGGACCGCGAACCCGAGCTTCTCAATAAGAAAACCGATGCGCGGTTATTCTTCTCACATAATTATGCTGTAGGGATTCGGATTCACGCACCAGCGCAAGGATCAAGCCGACTTGTCACTAACTCTGTTCGTCCGATTTCAGTACGCATAGTAAGATTAATGGTCCGATGTCATGTAGATGAAAACGTGGTCCAAAAAATACCTGGGCAAACAGCAAATGTAAGTAGATGAAATATCTGACAATTGATCTGACTCGTGGATTTATTGTGATTTTCTGCTCGGTCAGAGGCATGCTGTAATGCGCACCCCATGATAGCTATGTGCTCAGTATTTCTGTTATCCATTTCGCGGTGCCGCGAATGAAACAGTATCACGATTAAGTGAAATGTTGATGGACTGCGAGTCGGGATGAGTGTATGGGAGTTAGGTACATTGGGCAATCAAATTTGGCACAGCGTATCCCAAAGTTACCGAAACTGGCATCACCAGCTAAGTTTGCATCAACATACTTAATCAAAAGTAGAAGTGTCCGCATGATTATCCAAGTGGGTGAAGCACTCGTTTCTTTTAGGCCCCTAGGAAGAACTGCTTTGAAGGTATCAGATGCAAAAATGTCTCTAATAATAATAATAATAATAATAATAATAATAACGCCTGTATTTCTGTCTGTAACGGCGCAGATCAATTTTTACGAAAGTAACCATGCCCTTGCGTGGGTGAGATACTTATGTAAAGCAAAGTGAGTTATGCCATACATGTAATAACATCCTGATGGATGGATGAGGCGGAAGCCAAGGTTTTGAAACCTGGGTGTTTGCATGTTTTAGGGCCCATCTTGGAATAACTCGTCAAAGGGATTTTTCCCACGATAGCAATCCCGACCTAGCAACTACCAAATAATGGTGGGGTTACCCTTGCAGGGTAACAAATTCGCGAGTCAAATTTGATTTGTCATAATGCAAAAACAACGCGCTTTATTCTGTTCTGTTTGCCTGTTACAGGAGAAAATTCGATAGTGAAAATTTGGTAATAATTTGTAAACAACCGATTAAACACAAGCATTTAATCGATCTCAGTAGCGAAAAACGCACATCTTCGAGGAAATGAACTACAGGACCTAACCTGTGGAGAAAGTGATAGAATGAAGCTTGTCTCAGGTTTTTCGTTTGCAGGATTTTCTTCAAAATGGAATTCCATGGTAGGAAATAGGATGTAGGGTAATCCTGTCTTCCCGCCAACGTGTCCACTTGCAGCGCTTTCACACAACAGGGACTCGGTGCGCCAGAACTTGGTAAAAGAGCTGGGATAAATCTTCCTCAGTGAACTTTGATGGTAAAAGTGACGTTTGATGTGGTTCACAACAGAGGTGAATACCCTCTGTGGTAGCTCGATATTTGTCGTTCCTGTGTCCAAAACTGTTTTATCGAAGTTTAGCTGCAGGGCGTCAAATAAATTACAGTGTATTATCACATTTCAACTCTTAACATACTGCACACAAAAATCAGCGGGAAAAATAGGCCCAATTACGGGTACAAAAACCCACACGTAAAAGCAGGAAGAAGCGTAAGTGACGGCACCATAGATCAAATGAAACGTCTCTTTATGATCGCCACGACGTTGGATTGGTACCGAACTTAGAGGTGCATCAGCCAATGGCTGAGTAGGTTGCTTATGTACGTGACTGCGTTGTCATCAGTGTTAACGAAATATATGCCACAATTTAAGTCAATAATGTGTTTTATGCACCCATGAAGGGTGAATATTCAACTCTAACACACGACACGGAATGGGATAAGTAATGAAACGGAATAGTATATACGGATAAACATAAAACCACACGTTGTAAAAAGATAAAGAGAGATCGAATAACTTTTGTAAAATATTACCGGGTATGGCACCATTAATGCATTCGCTTGATGAAATGTGATAGTTCTCTTAGTAACTGACCGTGGTGACATGAGTGCCATAATTACGACGGCTGATAGCTATTGATGCTAAACAATGTATGCATTTGCACGGATTGTTACAAAACTAAGATGGCGGTAGCGTCTCAACATGAGACTGGCCTCGATAGATCTGTTACAGCTACCGCGATAAAACCATAGGGAATATAAATGTGCAAGTGAAAACAGCGTCCAACGAAGAAAGGAAAAATAAACGGCGAATACGCCAGCATCTCTATGGCGGTATTGCGTTTATCCAAATCATCTGGCAGATCGAAGCGGTCTCATTTCACATTATTTATTTTTCTTGACAAGCTCGATTTGTGCAGCAGTTAGAATGCCGTATACCCTGTTCGTTTAATTTTCTCTTCTAAGTTAACCGTTTTCATCAAAATGTTCCTGTTGCCTTCAAGAAACAAACGCCTAGTGAGTCGTTGAATAAAGTATTCAACGCGGTGCCTTCAAACTTGATCGTGCTCTTTGGTTCCATCAGCAAAATTACTTCCACTCACGCTTTCGGTCATTTTTAAATTTGATTTCTTTTCTACCCAGTTCATACAGTCGTTAAGGCTATGGTGACCTATACTCACGATATTTTAAAATCCCTATGTGTTTCTCCTTTGAACGTCACGGTTTTTCACGGTCAAGATGCAAAAAATGAACTAAAGCGAATCTACAAGAAACACAAGAATTCAACTAAAAAGCATCGTGCTGGATGGGTAGTTGCTCTACGGAAGAAAACATTGCGGATTATGAGTAGACCCATCATAATAAGCTCAAATTCCCGATCAGTTATAAGCGAATGGATGAGAATCAAAGCAAAATTCGCTGTCGTGAATACTCGAAGGTTAGCGTAATAATGCTTCAAGAGAAGTTCAGTTCACTTCAGGTGTCATCAACCACATTGATTCTTCTCTTTGCATCTTTTCTGAAGATTTTAGCAGAGTTGACACCACTTTTCTCACAGACCTTGGGTTTCAAAATGTTGTAAACACCCCCACTATACTTGAAGCAACCATAGACCTTACATTTGTTAACAATGCGAAACTGTTTTTTGTGTTCAATCAGGCACCGACCGGTAGTTCTCTGACCACTCAGATATCAAATTAACTCTTATCGTGTACAGCGAAGTAAATCATAGGGTATTACTCGTAGTAAAGATCGCATGCTTTAAATGAAGACAATGTTCACCTGAGAAGATATATCGACTCCAGGAAATAATTTCATTCACAGGTTTCAGTATATTTTTGACTACGGTGTATCTAAATACAGGTACCAGTTAATGAGCTTTATCAACTTCTGCTTTGATACCTGCTGTCCATTGGAAACCATTTTCATCCTGGCGGATCGGTTCTCATCATACCTAACATGCTTGCGTAGACTCAGAGCGAAAGCGTTCAAAACGAAAGATCACGCTGCGGTGAAATCTTTTTCTATTTGTATAAAAACTGAGTTGCGCCGTCTAAACTATGCATATGTCCAGACCATACTGGAAAATGTTAGCTGCCGGGATGTCTGGCGTATGCTAAACAACTTAGTGAAGTCTCTAACCGAGTGTTAAATCTAGACGTAGACCTGGGAGAACTGAACTGAAACTTCTGTTGCTTCAATGCTAACTTTACCTATCATCCTTCTTCCCCACGATTGGATCGGCCCACAACCTCCTTACATGCCAATGACAGAAATACAGTGCGCAATAAATTACTACAGCTAAACTCCAATAAAGCAAATGGTCCGGAAGGACTATAACCCGTTGTCCACAGTGTGCCGATTCCCTGGCTCACTCCCTTGCTGACCTATACACGTTGTACATGAAGGAGTGTGATATCGCTGACTGCTGGAGAGGTGCCGGAATTACACCGGTGCCAAAGAAAGGCTCAGCTAAAGACCGACCAATTGCATGCACCTCCATAAACTTGAAGATAGTCGAAAGTATTCTTGAAAAGTTGCTGAATCAGACTCATTCAGATGATCCTCTATAGTTTGCTTATCTTAGGTTAAGGTCTACTCAAAACGCACTAGCCTATCTTGTACATACAGTGCAGTCGTCACTAAACAAGGGAAAATCCGTACGCAGTGTTTTCTCGATCACAGTAAAGCTTTCGACAGTGTAAACCGTGAGCTTCTTTTGAGAGACCTGCACGATGCCGAAATTAAACTCTCTACTGTCCACTTTTCGAGAGACTACTTCACTAGACGTGCCCAGTTTACTGGACTTGGGGGTAAAATTTCCTCGCCGCTCACCACAGACAATGGAGTTCTTCAAGGAGCCATACTATCTCTACACCTCTTTTCCACCCACATCGCCTTTTTACCTGCCCCCTGCCGATGCGGTATTGATGAAATATGCAGACGGCGTAATCTTGAGTATGCAACAACCGATCGCAGCCTCATCAACTAAAGTAAAAGCCTATCTGGACAGCATTGTATTATGATCCAGAACTCACTTTTTATCGTTAAATGTACCAAAATGCAATAACGTCACTTTCTCCCTACCCAAAGGTCATGCTTATCGGCAACTTCTCATGGATACCCCGAACTTCATATAGATGGTGAGAATTTTCATTCCAGGTTGTCAGTGAAGTACTTAGGTGTAACACTCAGTCGTGATCTTTCCAGGTCACTCCAGGTTAATGATGTTTTTACAAGGGTTAGGAGGCTTCCGTCCTACGCCCTTCGTATGTGATTCTCCTCTGTCCCCCGCCACTTAATTCTGAGATTTATCACCGCATGTGTCTTACCCCTTTGGACTTGGTGCTCCACTGTGATATTTCATGGTTTCCTAAAGAAGCACTTCAAAATCCTAGTTAGGTCACTGACGCAATTATCTCGGTGTGTTGGAATTACTAAGCCGACCTTTGTTGAGATTCTTGGGTCCACTCGTACCAATTCATGCATAGGGCTTGCTTCAAGAATACTTACTGATACAAGTCACCCTCTTCATGGTGCAGTCTGTGTATCAACATCTTCAACCAGAAAAATGTATAGGTGTATTCTTTCCAGCACAATTCTCTTACCATTCAACCGCTATTCCATATTTGGCACGTTTTTTGTGCGACCAGATAAGCTATCCTGGAGATTAAAAGCAACTTTACATCGCAACAATACTGCTGTCTATTCCATTTATTACGCTACTTGTGTATTTACTACTTTATTTCTTTTACTACGCTGAAAGCGTATGTAACAGCTTAATATTCACCCTTATGGATGCAGAAATTGAATTGAATCTTGGATTTGAAGGGGTACCGCTTTAGTATAACAGCTAACCAATCGGAAAGTGCCTCAAAAGAATGAAACCCAAGCTCGTGTGCCATCTGCATACAAGATGATTACTTAAAAATTCATTAAGAAGTTTGGAGAAAAATGAAGAACACAGAGAAAAGAAGGCAGCAATACAGCAGAATGCGATATCTTGGTAGATGTGAATCCACAAATCTCTTCCGCATAGAAAATCACAGTTACATCAACTTGCAACCAGTGCGAGATCCGCCTAGAATCAGTGCAGAAACACGTAAGGGCAAAACAAATGGGGAACACACCGGCCTGGTACCAACCACTATATACAGGAACGGGTATAATTAGTGGCACGTACCGATCGTGTACTCCTAATCCGTGTACGGACCCGTAGTCCATTTAGATATGGGAAAAACACCAACGCCGGATGGTATGTGTGAAACGGTACTCTACTCCTAATCGAAGCCAAGTGAAAACATATAGGACCAAAACGAACCAATGAGAAACAGAGACCAATCAGCGAATGCACTATAGTCATGAGATTGGGAGCGTGTGGTTAGTGGGTGTGGCATGATGCATCGGTTGCGGATGTCCGGAACAATTAGAAAACCAACTAGCATTTAACAATACTGTAAGTGTATGTAAACTGATGTCGCATTCTGGTAGACATAAGAACCCTTGTGTGTTTGCTAACTTATATAGTTGAAGACGGATGTCACTGAACTACGACTGCGAACTACAGGACTAGCAAAAATGAGCAGGTACTCAATAGTTTGGAAGGAATTGGGTATTGAAAAAATCAACACATGGGGACCTGAACAGTAGTGGTTACTGTCTGAGTGAAAACCAGTGGCTGTAGAGGAATAGCTTAGGGAATTTTGGCCAGGGACTCCAAATACTCGGGTTTGGAGTAAACTACCATTTCCCAAATAAATTACGGTAACAACCAAGATAGTGGAGTATAGTGGATTTCTGATGAATATGTGCAGAAAATAGGGAAACGGACAGAATGATTTAATTGAGAAACCATATAATGTGAATATGCAACATCCAATGAAGAAAGAAACGCATAGAAAGCCAATACATAAGTAATGTTGTACAAAAGTGCGAGTAAAGGGTTCCATGTTTGAAGCGAGTTAGGCCCCAAAGGAGTGATCAGGGTACTTGTTAATAAAACAGCAAATAGCTGCTTCTAATGTAAACGTATTTAAGAAGACGCCTTCAAAAGTGAATAATTCGTAAAGCTAGTAACTTGTGTGGAAACTTAATGTTAGTGAGCACAGTTCAAATAAAACGTATGAAGCCTGCTTCTATTGCGCCAATCCGGAGAATGTTCCCTATTAGGCAATTACAGTTTTAACGATGAAATACCTAAAAAAAGAAACCGAGTAAAAGCAACTACAATGCTTTTCCTATCGCAACACACATAGGGCATGAAGAGTGAGTAGAGTGGAAAGGAAAAAATAATCAGCATCAAAATTACATGGGATAAACACGTTATTGTAGTGCAATATAAAAATACAGTAAAAATGCGGATAGGTATCAGCAGTACGCCGGTAGGCAGAACCGACACTTTGCTACCAAGCAACCACCACTAGTCGGACTTGGGCTAAGGATACTTCGAGGGCCGCCCGGTACCCTACGCAGGCTCAAACCCGCAACCTCCGGATTACAAGGCAAGCGTGTGGTCCTGGACCGGAAGATACGGTAAAAAAAACCTAAAGTTGACCGGTTTTCATAGCCTGAAGGTTCATCACGTGAATCCAACGGAACCACACTTCTGTATATTGGCCACTTGGGTTATAACAGTCATTACTGATTGGTGCTGGAAGGCGCACCAATGACGAGACCCAGAAGGTCGAAACACCGGTGCTTGCTGCTTTTCCAGGCTAGCCAAAACCTGCTGACTGAAAGTGGACCGTGAGGAACTATTTTTGATCATACCAAAGCCCCACTACTCATTAGTGTTGTTGATTTGACCTTATAGCTTGAACATGTGAAGGTCTACAGTGCAATGGTCACCGAACAACTCGTTTATTCAAATAACAATGGGCTGAAGAAGCTCTTGCGTCAATAGCGAAACGTTACCACAATAAAACCTATAAAACCGATTTGTATTCAAAACCTGAAAGCATAAGATCCCAGGCGGTTTCAAGTGTATTCGGAGATATTGGATAAGGATGTGGATTTGTGGGATTTTGTAATGTGTGAAATTCTCCTGACCCTCAATCATTGAACTCTACAGCTCCGAAGATGTTCGAAAGTACAGCATGTTCTCCGTCTGTGTATGTGGGTTTTCACGTCTGTCAGGCAATTGGATGTTCGCCTCGTACAGTATCCCCATAGAATCCTCAAAACATTCAAAACGCGCTACCGATCCTAGCTCAGGTAATGGATTATAGCAAAAAGGCATATCGATGAATGCACAAGTCAAGAGCTTCATCCATTGCGTCAGTTAATGTTCTGTATGCTGTGCTTTGGATAAGTTCCGCTTGTCACAAAATTCAATCACAAACAATACGGAAGTGCTTCAAAAGCTAGATTCGTTCAAACTCTCAAGCAGCATACAGTAGCCTTACTAGACGTTCCATCTCACACGACGGAATTCGAAAGAATAAATTTTTAAGTTTAGTAAAATGGGGAATGATTTGGCAACCTGCACTGAACCAGATCCAGATGGTGCTTTTTCCGATAGTTACTGATTGCGGTACACCCCTACGGAAACAAACAAGAAACACCTTAGGAAGAATAAGAACTAAGTGAAGATGCCATAGAAACCACAGAAAATCCGAAAGATGATATCAGCCATCTTTTAATTCAACTGGTCACTTTCTGTGAAAAATGTCCAAGTATGCTAAGTCGTGTAGCCTGTGCTGAGTCCTCTTTCTCAGTTACATTTGTGATAAGAGAAAGAATAGACAAAGATTAACTTTGTATTACTTGTGAGTAGTAAGATTTTACTTGTAATTTTGTTGAGGCATTCATCCCAGTAGTTCACAAACTACATAGCACAGCCTAGTCCGGAAATGCACCAGACGCGTTTCGCCCTGCTACTCATGAGTAATACAAAATAGTCTCTCTTAGTTTTAAATGCTATGGATACAGCGTCTAGCGAGAGGACGTCATCACCTCGCAGACTAGCCACTGTCTTTGACAGTGGGATAGGTGGTGCTATATCCCAGTTAGGTTGCAAATTATGTAGCCCAGCTAACGTCCCCATGGATCAGTGGCTTAAGCTGCTGGCTAGTGGGCATCCGTCTCTAGCGGTCATGGGTTCGACCCCCAGTAGGGGACTTAGAGAATGCGCACCACTGACGAGCCCCAATAGGGCGAAAGGCGTCTGGAGCTTTTCCGGACTAAGTTGTGCTATGTAGCTTGTGAACTACTGGGATGAACGCCTCAACAATGATTAACTTTTCGTAAAGGGATTTAACTTCAGGAGAAGACACTGCGTTTTTATGTATTATAACACCGTATGATTTAACTGGGTTTGTCCTTATGTGAGAGCTCCTATAATTTGTTAGAAACAGGATGTACTTGATAATAAAATTTATAGCTTACTATTCATAACGGAAAAGCGAGGAGCGCTAAGTTCTTGTTTAGGACCTCCATATGTTGACCAGCTCTCTAGGTTGGCCACTTTAGTCCGATCATTTGAGTGGTCAGCTTGCGGAAGTTATATCGTATATGAAAAAGCGAGATACAAATCAATACGGAATACAAAATGGAACCCAAAAACAAGTAATATGATATTGTGCATCAGGAATGGGATCGTGGTTGGAGTGGGAAGTTAAAAAGGAAGGAGAGGGAAAAAGAAACTCATAACGCGAACGCCACTGAAGTCGACTCTTCGCCATGTCAACAAGTGTATCCAAGCAAAGGTGAGGAGGGGAAATTAGTGGAAGGGCATCGATGAGACCAGTATTCTACACCGCGATTCAAAAAGAACTATTCGACATGTTAGTCGAGCAACTGTTGTGGGATATCAACACTCTCTCTATGTGCAGCAACCGCGGGCGAGTCCGTGGAAAGCGAGCCTATTTGCGGAATCCGTGTGGATCAGTGATATACTCCTTATGCCGAAGCTGCGTCACTTAACAGGTCGAGGGACCGCAAAACAGAAGACGCTTGTCCGGACAAAACTGCGATCACTTGTGTTTCCGGATGCTTTGGAGTGTATGAAAAAAATCGTGCGCAATACCTTAACCAGTAGCAAATGTGATCATGAGATAAATAACTGGTACTGGTTTCAACAGGGGAGCAAACGATATAGAAACACAACAGCTGTGGTGTGCACGCAGTGTTGTGCAAACAAGCAAGACATACAAGCATCGTTAGTCCTACTCACACTCAGCACTACATGATCAGCGTACTTGTAGGGTTAGATGCGCTCTGATAACACACTTGGGATGAAGTAGCAGGAGAAACCTCAGAATGTTAGTGTGAAATTTATACTGAGTACTTCCTCTTACATTAGCAAAGATACAACTGCGTCGTGGTTCCGAAACTGCGAGCGGACATTCAAAATACACCCCATTGTTGCCTGGTTAGGAATAAAACAATACAAATAACAAGGTCCCTAACGTGTTCACAAGGCCGAACGGGTATGTCCCCAAAGGGATTAACTCGCAAACTTAACTAAATTTGGTAGACACAACTACAAGAAAATACACGGAACTAAGTAAACCGGGAGACATCAACAGTACGTCGGCACCCAATACCGACACTGCACTGCTACGCGACCACCAACAGTGGCGCATGGGCTGAGTGTATCGCGAGGTTGACGCATTTACGCGGAAGTAAACCGGAACAGAGAAATAATGAGTTGTGAAAAGAAAGGCTTAAAAAACCAACCACGTGGCATTCTACGTTGGGAACGATGAAGTGGTGGATCTGCAGCGGTACTTGCCTCCTTGCAATCATCGACTACGCTGTGGTTATTAATCCGTAGATCAGTCAGTACAACCTCGTAGAACCAAGCTTGTCTGATAGGGGTGAAAAAAATCGGTCCATTTGAAGCTGCAGATTTATTGACGATAGTTGTACCGAGCCCCCACACACCAGTAGCAACATTCGATTGGCCAGCATTCTGCAAAGAGATAGCGAAAAAAACCGTAGTAGCTGGATTGTAAGATGTGGTGAAAACGACAACGGTGTAGTCCGAAAATGATCAGCCAAGAAAGACCCTAAGCACGCTCGCACAAGCCGGGACGACCCTAATAATTGGTATAACGAAACGGAAATACATCTCCGTAAAATTAATATATGAAAACAGCTGCATATTAGCTGAAACAAGCAGGAGTAAAACGTAGTTGCCAAAGTCCTGTGATAGTAGGGGATTTTGGGAATGAACAGCTTGTCCACATTTTTCTTAATCCCTTCAGTCATGGGCTCATAGTAGGAAATTATGGAGACGAGTTTAGGCCAACGTGACGCAAAATAAAAATCAATGGAAGGAGAAAGAATTCAATGCTCACTGGCTACAAATTTCGAGGAAGAGTTGGTGGGCCAAAAGTGCAGATAAAGATGCGGTGGAAGTGTAAAGTTAAATGTGAAACTTCTATAGTTAAAATAGGATGTTAAATTTGTCACAAAGCATTGCAATGAGTTGTAACACTGCTGTCCCTCTGCTCTCTATCACGCCAAGCCAGCCAGGCACAAAACGCCAAAACCTGCTAGACCGAAGTAGATTAGGGACAGAACAAGATTCATGTTATAGGTCACATTCTATCATCTCCCTTAGCAACCAGTTTCACGCTGACGGGCTGATTTCATCAGCTTCCGGTTTGACCACGGCAACGAGTCTGTCAGCTGCTCACGTGAACTGGCTAATCTCGCCCTGCTAGATTGCGCCATCGTAGTCACCCGTTTCGCCTCCGTGACACCTTCTCCGAACTGAAGCTGCTTTTTTACCATGTATGCTTGCTGCAATGCAGATATTTTGTCTTGACCTCAATCAGTTGCCTTGATGGCTTTCTCCTTCTGACCGGTCTTGAGATTTGCCGCAGTTCGGCCTCCGCTGATCTGCGTGCCCGATCCATTTCTTGTTTCCAACCATTAGTTCGTAATTGACTCCGCCATTTCTGCCCAGCACCGATTCTGTCGACCACTTCCTTGGTCGACGGAAATCTCTCACGTACTTCATGTCACCAATCTTGAAATGATTGACCCGGTCTGCTCGATTTTTCTCCGTATGTCATCGTCTCATCTTTGGACTGTGACTCTGAACCCATCGGCTTGGGAATGGTGGTAGTAACACTTGATTGATTTGCGGTTGCTGTCATATGCTGTTCATTGACTGATCTAGCAATTCCAGTCGAGACTCAACAGATCTAACCCCGACTTGTCTGTCACGAAACATGTTGTGCGGATATTTTGATCACGAAATTTGACTTGACAGTTCAACTGAACAAGCAACTTTAACATACCCCTTGACGCATTCTGTATGGTTGGACACGTTTATATCAGTGACGGACGCCCGAGCGGGCACCTTGTATATCAGTGACGGACGCCCGAGCGTGCACCAGGTATCATGGGAAATCAGGGTTGTGTCTGAAGCGGTGTCCAGCTGCAAATTGACTTGAATGCCACTGATTTCCACCGTCATGTACTTACGTGACGACATGGCGCAGACAAACATTATGCTCACCAACCCCACGAACTCGTGGTAGACGGATATACCTTTGTGCTAATGTGGATAATATGTGAAACTTTTTTAACTAACGTTATTTCCATAAACCATCCTACGGGATTTGTCAGGACTTGGAATTTTTACCCGTATTATACCATTGTTCTTCTGATGAGCCCATCAGCTTTGGAAGTGGCAGTGACAGATCTGGTCATATTCGGACATCTGGACGTCATAAGATTGTTTCGCTTCTTCCTGTTCATAATGGGACGACTTGACAGGCAACACGACTCTGTGTGCACCCAATTACCACATCGATTGCAAATGTGATTTCTAAACGGACAGTTCCGGCCAAAGTGTCACTCTTTACAAATCCAACAAGCAGAGGGAGGTTTGGAATGAAGAACTCATGAGCTGATTCGTCTTGGGGACTGCGGTCAACTGCAAAGAACAGGCCGTGATCGTTGCGGTTGGACAGCTGCTGAATCACTGACGTATCACGCTTCAGATTGGTCATTCTTTGGCATTCACTGGTTATCTGCTGCAGCGTTACATCAGGGTTCTGTTCCATCGTGTTCAGAATTCCTGTTCGTATGTCTGCATCTTTGGCTGCCTGTAGGCCGCAAACGTAAAGGAGGCACTTGTACTGGTCGGTGGTCATTTTGTGGAACTGAACGTACGCACTCGCGATTTACCTTGCTCGAGTAGGTGACCCGATCTTCATATTCTTTCCTGGCCATCGTGAGGCACTTGTACCGGATGTTGAACAAGGTCTGCTCATCAAAAATTCGTGACAGGACTGAGACAACTTCGTCAAGGGATAGGTCAGTGCTCTTCTTTGGCAAAATGAAATTTATAAACTCTTCATGTCCAGCCGTACCCAGCTTACGGAACAGCAGGCGAATTTGCATCTCTTTTGGTACATTTGCGAAACCAACACGAAATTGTCTTCTTACTTGTGAAACCAGGAAGCGAATGTCACGCCAGCATCCTCATCATAATTAAATTCACTGATGTGCTTAGTCAGGGTTGCTGGAAAGGTGACACTTTCACTTGCCCTTAACCCTGAACTGGACTGCATCGACAGCTTCTGCAAAATTATCTCAATGAGCTTGGCCTGTTGCTGCAAAAATGCTCGCAATTTTTCGAAGCTGGCTACCATTTCTGAGTTCGATTGAAACTCGTGTCGTCAGGTCTTATTATGACGCGCCACACTGCTAACCGCAACTCACTCAGAATGAAAACAATAACGCACCGTGTGAGGGCGAGCTGCCTTGAAAACTGACATGCATGAGTAAACAGACAATCAACCAATCACGTGAAAGTACCTAGGCAACGAGTAGCAAAACTGTCAAACTGAACTACAATCATGCGTGAGTCCATCTGATACGTCTACAATGAGCAAATAAGAACAGACCGTACAAATCTCGTAGAATCGAATTCAAAGGAAAAAGGCTGGCTAGCCAAACAACCTCCTCGTGGTATCAGCTGGGTGGTTCGGGTTTACCCCCTTCCAGCAAATAGTTCGGCGGTAGTGTTCTAGGACGTGGTGGGTTTTCGCCTGGCAAGCGTTCTCACCATAAAAAGCCACAAATATCCGTTTAACAACACTGTGGTGTGGCGGTTGTGATTTGCCGACAACTAAAGTCACCCATTGCTTATCCGGACAACCGTTTTAAGTCCACAGCCATTAAGCATCTAGTTAACACTGGCGACACGTTCAAGCACGATCGAAATGGCAGAATGACATTCACAAATCCCATAAACACAACTAAACACGCCCACGTGCACACTTACATACATTCATGTCAACATATGCGACAATCCCATTGTTCCATTGTACATTAACTGATCACATTTTGTACTGTTAACATGATCATGCCTGTGCAGGCGTGCCTCGCTTAGTTGAGAATAAACATATCATTTATTATATTAATAAGCATATTTCCCATCAAGTGAGCAACTGTGTCCATGATTGGTACAGATTGTACTTGCACAGATAGTAACATGTTCTTGCATGGGTAATACACAGTTTGGTGATTGTCCTCGTTTAATGTATTTCTGGTAACGTATACAACTCATTAGTTTATGTTTTACCGTCAAGTGAGTGGAGTATTTATGACTTTCGAGAGTGTTGCAACCACTGAGAATTGCATACGTTGTGTGAACTGCTCCTACTTCGCCTAATAGATGCTATTCAGTCTCGCTTAAACAGTTCATCACGCCAACAACGTTATAATCATGCTCAGGTCGAGTTGGCTTCCGACCTGACAATGATTGGTAGCCCATTTCACAGAGGGTTTATCTAGTCAGAAAAAAATTCGATAGCATATTCGTCCTGCACTTTGGTACAGCTGGGGTGCAGACCATATTATAAACTTTCCAATCCGGGCCGTACTGCAAGTATAATGTAGGCACATTGTAGCTGATAGAGAAACCCCTTGGTAGCGTTTCTCGTTTGGCAGTGAACAGGAGAAACTAGCACTGCACCATTTACGCCTCCATCTAAACGTCCTACATCCAGTAGCTCGAAGGAATAGGAATGGGTGGCATGCGGGTGGAAGCCACGGCTTATCCGGAGCTCCCCCACGCATTCAGCAAGCATATAAAATTTGGAGGAACACGCGCACCAGGATGCACACAGTGGTAACATTGTGTCCACTCGCTAGCTGATCACGCACCGGCCAACACCAGTGAAACTCACTTGAGTTAAACCACACAGATGTAGGCTAAAGAGGTTGGGCAAACCCAGTTGAAGCACCAGGTCATCAAAAAGACTGTGTCCTCTGTACTGCTCCAGAAACGATTTGGTCCAAGTGCGGGTCCATTTGAACGGAGAGAGTATTTTAGTCACCCAGCTGTCGGAGATAGGCTTGACGAAGAGTTTGGCAAACCCCAAACCGAGTATGCCTTCCCAAACGGACAATGTATTGTTTGACGGGAAGAAATTATTGCTTAGGTCTATTAAGGAAATCTGGCTTCGCAAACTTAAGTTGGCGTTCAATCTGGGGGAAACTGAAGAACAAAAAATTGAGAAAACTGTCAGCATATGATAATACGCCCGTAGCAGCAGATCAGCTACCCGAGTGATTCACATTATTCAAGTGGCCACCACCTTAGTTCGCAACCAATCAGCTTAACCGGTTGGTGTTATGGAGCCCATCGAGAACAGATTGATAACCCGTTTTAGTGAGCCTACTGAAAAACTAATTAAGCTGCGATAATGAGTGAGCTTTGATAAGATAAGCAAACTTGCATTCGTTGGGTTGAGGGACCAGAATTGCGAGATGAGAGAGACACGCGAGCTGACGAAAAGATGGGACAGGCTTAAGGCCAGTATATGTGTGGGCGAGTAGCTCGTGATGTCGAAATGGAACGTCTGCTAACAACGACGGAGCAAAGAGAAATGGTGAAAGTAAAGGCGTCGATTGACATACTAGATAGTGGCGACACTGGGCTATCCTTTTCGACACACCGGCAGAAAGGATAAACATTCACAGTATTCAATAGATGGTACACAAATTGTGTCTCGAAACAGAATGAAAGCACAAAACGAAAGTCGTGGATGGAACATTCTGCGCAAAACACTTCTGCATACTGAGGTGCTAACCTTAAGAGAAGTACCAATACTACCGTAGTTCAATTCTAACATCTGTGGGCCGGTAATGTGAAGTGGAAGGATGTTACGAGGATGACCATCTGCACTCATCCCTCTCAACCGACCCAAGGTTCGATGGTAGCCTGTTTAGTGAAGAAAATGGTCAGCAGTGATACACTTTAAGCACCAGGCATCTTCAAACTCGCAAAGGGTAAAGTGAGGGAAACTGTGCTTCAAATGGTTTGCTTTTGGGAATGAGTCCACGACACGCCCTGAGCGCACCCCGTGGAACGGCTAAAGTCCATGGCTCATTCACCAAAATTATATAATCCTCTATCTACTACCTTTGTGCTTATGATTTATATCCCTATCCACTGATGAACCTGTGCTTGGTTTTCCCTCGATCAATTCCTCGATGGATTCAAGTAACAGGCGAACTCAATTTACCCGTTGTGGTGCGGCAAATGTGCCAACGGTTACGGTTCGTTCGAATCTACCAGGTCAGGATTCTCCCATGGATCCACGCGTTAGGAAATACACTAGCTAGTGCAGACTATCAGACATGTATCAAATACCCCGACGCTGGTGAACATAACAATCCGCGACTCAATCACGCACTCACGATGTGTAAGCCCCCTTATGTGACATGAGCGACAACCTTTGTTGCGTGCATGTGAAAGCAGCAGTGCCAATAGTATCGATTCGATCTTTTGTCGAATTACGCAGATGCGATGAACTGAGGCAACTAGGTCGCGGAGCTTAACCAGGGATAGAATTTGCGATATCACGTTCTTGGCTCCAATCAACACGCAAAAACAAGGAAGTAGCAAAGGAGGCGCACTCGCGTTGGAATGAGTAAGCGCGAAATTGTGGATTAATAATAATAATACCTACATTTATTATGATCTAAGTAATAGTGTCTCTAGCAGCACAGACCAATCTGCACAAGAGTAACCATGCTCTTGCTGGGCGAAACACTTATGCGCAATATTCAGGTGAGATTCATACTAGTGAGTTAGTGGATGGCTGAGGCGAAAGCCAAGGTTTGGGAACGTGGATGTTTAGATGTTTTCGCGCCACTAATTCGGCAGCCTGATTTATCAAATAAAGGCCGCGGAAGCGGCAATGCTAATCGACAATAAGAAACCTCAGTTGGCTACGCAAACACAGACAATATCCAATTGTGCTACTAGGGAAGCGGGAAGGTTTGCGGTGTTATTAGGGGGAGACATTTGCGTGAAAGGACAAAACACTGTCCGGATCGCTAGGCACCAGTACTTGTCAACCATAGAGAAAGATCGAACACGTACCAACCAGATTTACCAGGACACCACTTACGGTACACACCATAAAAGCACAAGCTGTGTCAGTGAAGATAAGAGCGGAAAGCGATCAAAGCGCACGGACTCTGTTCCTTTACCATTGACATCAATGTTGTCCTGAAGCAAACGTGTGCGCTCTAAAGATGCAAAGCGTATGTCAATGTGTGCGGAGCTGGAATGTTATGCACGTCAACAAACGAGACCAGTACTGCTATGATGCTTCTATTGTGTCTGTTAGCTTACTTTGAGGAAGGGAATGGCAGACAAATCATTAGACCGAGAGCACTTCCTTTTGCATCAAGTAGTGCCGAAAAAGGAAGGGATGTCATGTTTCACAGTAAAGACGCCAGTACACCTTATCGTAGTGGGCCAATAAAACTGCCACACGGGTCATGCCGGCGCTCTTACGAATCGAGTCACGAAAAGAACGGCTATGACAACATCATAACAAATAAGGGAAAAGTAGTGCCCAAAATACCACGACCGTTTTGTATCGCCGCTAGGTAGCAGGTATTCGACGTCCATTTTGTTAGCTGTTCACAATGCATAAAACGCGCACTTTTATCCGACATTGCACTGCGGTCTGCCAGCAACATCATCAACAGCAATACATCAGCCATTTGAACTGATGCTTCGCTGCCACAAAACTATAACGACCTATGGAATGAAGAATAATAAAAGGAAGAGAAGGGGGCCTAGCGTAAAACCTTAATTGCTTAAGCAAACGCTGGGTCAAGGCGCCTTCACCTTGTCAACAACATATCGTCACAAACAGCTGGCTATGGTGCAAAAAAGGCTGCATAAGCGAGGCAGCTTCCTCGCGCGTTTCACTGTTCCGCGTCATAATCAACCAGTACCCCACAGATAAATCAGCCCCAAACACAATTTAAACAGGCAGTCCGACTAGAAGATGGCAGCAGACGCGCCACTGACGTCAACTGCGAGCCATGTATTGTAAGTCTCGAGCTAAGCACAAGACGGGTCACGTGGACTCCAGCGTGGAAGGAGAGACGGACCAACGACACATAGTTCTGTAGTCAGTTATTTCATTTCCCGCTGACAAGTTAATTATTGCCCACCTCGAGCTTTACGCCACCCTACATCTCGCAAAGAAAATAAGGTCCTCCTCGGTAGGCGGTGACCGGGCATACGTAGTAGGTGCTCAAGCAAACGCAACTTATTCAACGCTATCTGTTGCTCTAACGAACTAGGCTATCACAACCTAGAATCGGCTACGTACACCATCGTTGTTGACGCGCGAGTGTCATCCGACAACAGTAATGCATCGCAGGCAGCGATCATTAAATATTTGAAGGCGCCTCAGATCGGAGGAGCCAAGTCTCACTCCCATAGATTATGACGACCATCATTGTGGACTCGTAAACCCGACCTTTTAGACCGAACGGAACTTCTTTCTGACGCCATGAATGTCGCAGACTCAAGAAGGCAGTTCTAGCTTTTGCAATACATGAACTGACTTCAGTGCTTATGCGCCCATCGTTGCTGATGCAGCTGCCAAGGTAAGTGAATTGATCAACTAGCTCGAGTTCGTCGCTATCAAGGCGCTTGGGACACGTTCCGGTGAAGTTCCTGGAAAAACGACGGCGTACCAAGACATGATCAGAGTCGATCCAACAACCCAGGATGGAACCACACCAAGTGACATTTGGCACCCATAAGTGGACGGCCAATGTCACTTCAGCGTCCACTGTGTCTAAAAGCGGTGCTACTAAGAAACAGTCGGTGCTCAACGCATGGTCGCAATGGACGCTCCTGAAGATCACAGACGAGATATTCGCGCATTCGTATCCTCTGCCATAACAACTATATCTGCACTGATAACATTGTGAAGTTGAGTGCATAGTTCGTTGTAGAAAATTTACTAGGCAGTGTCCGAAATGCATTCGGTGGGAGCATAAGCAATAACCACAGAAGAACAGCGCCTAATGCTACTTCATGAATCAACCTTAGTTGGTGTCGCCAATCGGGCTGCACACAAACGGCTGCTCACGAGAATCCAATCGACGTTGGAGCTGAGAACCATGCCAACCCCAGCGTGGCCAGTGATTGCAGCATCAGCGTCTCCGGATGAGTATAACCAATAGCTAGAGGGTAAATCGACTGAAGATAGCAACAGGAATTCGTTAACTATTCGGGTTTCTCAGGCTAGGTAGGTGGTTTTAGGGGTCTTTCACATGACTCATTGGAGACGATTCCAAACGGCACATGGTTTTCCCAGCCCGTGGATAAGTCTGATGTGTCAACGCATGTTGTAAATCTAAGTAACGAGTAAGCAACATCGATTTACACAATCTGGTTGGGACCAAAAGAATGAACACTATGGGAACGAGCAGTATGGCTTGGTCGAAATCAAGGCGCACCATATTCTTCGGTCCCAAGAGGTTGTCGGTCCGTAGCCTAGAGGTAACGAGCTTGGCTCGTAATCTTGTGGCGCTGGTTCGAATCTGCGTAGAGGTGGGCGTCTTTGCGGTATACTCAGCCCGCGTGCAACTGGTGGTGGTCGCACGACAGCGAAGCGCCGTTACAGCGTACAGCTGACACATTATTTACTGTTATTATTATTATTATTATTATTATTATTTTCAAGAGGCTGTGCTGCTGTGTTGAACACTGTGGTCAGCCCGCAGTCGAAGAAAGTGATTGCCAGCATCGATATTGAAGCGGTCACCTCGGATCGGTACTCATTATGATTAATGGCTTAAATGAGCACCGTCGCAGCCAGTAAAGAACGCTATAAGCACACTACCGAGCAAGCGAATGATGAATGAAGGTCTTCGGTAAAGCTTAACCGATAACCTTCAGACTGCAGTCTGCTGGGGCGTCAACGGAAATAAGGAAAAGGTTACGTGTCCGCAGACGTCATTTATTAACTCCGGTGGAAATTGGAAGCCGAAATGGACGTGAACAGATATTTGCCATAGTCTGTTCCAGTAGATTGTCACTGACATCGAAGATTCCTGAGTCATGGTATGCATACCAAGATACACGAGAGACATGATCATCATCACTAGTTTTTGTAAGGTGACAAGTGACGCGTTACTATGCTATTACCATCCAAGTGGATTGTGAATAGAGAGAAGGAACACTGAGGACAATGAACAATAATTTATCACGGGTAAAAAAGCATGTGCTTGACAAGTCCCGTAGGATGGTTGGAGTGAAAATTAAAATTGAAAGGATCAACGAATAAGTAAATCGTTATTTTAAGTGTCTACCGATTTAAATGCACTACTGCATAACGATAGTTTGAAGTGGGAATGGGATGTGCACACACAAAATAGTATAGAGAGCTGTTATAGTTCAGTAAATGCGTGAGAAAGAAAAAAGGAAACGACAACGCTCACTCGTGTGTTGCTTCATTTGACAGATGTAGTATGTTAATCCAGTTTAGATACATCCAGGCTACTCACATGGACACTTTTGTATGTGTCCTCGTCGCCATGTTGCGGAGAGGGCCGTTAAGCACATGATTAGGTTTGCGTTATTTCGTCCTCCAAGTGGAACGGACTACATCAAGTAATGCAAGTTGGAAAGCGTTTCATCAGAGATTTTTGAAAAGCACTAATGTAGGGGCAAAGATAACGTGAGTCGGAAGGGCAATCCAGGCACGGGACACACGCAGGGAGAAAACGTTTCGCCGACAATCAAGTCGAATGTAGTGTGTGGCCAGTTTGAGCTGATGGCCTCTCAGATTGGTATTTTGGCTCAGATGTAACGGATTGCGACATGGGTGAGTTGGGTTCGTCAGTATAAGGTAAAGCATAATTAGGTCTCCTCGCTGACGTCGATATTTACCACTGTACAATCTCAAGGACTGCAGTCTGCGCTGGCAGGAGAGATGAAACAATCCTCTAACGAGTTTGGTCGCTCTACGTTGTGGAGTTTCAAGTGCATTGATATCGTGCTTGCGCCAGGAATGCCAGGCCTAGATCGCATATTCAACGTGGGGCCTTAAGTAGGCGTTTAGCATTGGTGGAAAGAACGATGGCTCAAAATTTTGGAAAGCCTTCCGTAAGAGTCCAATATGTTGACTGGCTCTTCTTGATGCCCTTTCAGCCTGTTTCCAGCAGCAAGAATCGTTTTGCACAATCACCCGAGGTCGTTTGCTTGGGAAGCATGTTGTAACTGCTGGTCCCCAAGTCGATAATCATAGATAAATTGATGGCGTATGCTTACGACTTTGCACTTCGCCACGTTGAACTAGAGCCGGTTATCGGGTGACCAAGCATAAGCCCTGTCGAGATCACACTGCAATGCCACGTGATCACCCGCTGTCCTGATATCATGCCAAATGTTGACATCATTTGCAATTAAGGAATTCGACTGCAGTACACTGGCAAAGTCGTTAATGAATGTTAGGAATAAACGTTGCCCCAGTACCGATCCTTGGGGCACACCACACTGGATGTCAGTGGGGTCGGAAATGGAGCTGCGGACTCTCACATTCAGCTGACATTGAGTGAGGAAGTTGCCGATCCAACGGTGGGGGCTAACATCGCCCGTTGGACGATAACTCACAGATTGAAAACGTAGCAGGATAGAACCCCGAGTTCGACATTTGATGACTTGGGAAGGGAGCATAAATAAAGATTGAGTCCAGCTGGTGTGTGTAGTTCTCTAAATGAAAATCTTGAGATCGGGTCTATCATCGGAAGCGGAGCAGTCAAAGGATCAGTGACATACTTGAATTCTACTCCTTAAAACCCAGGCCGTCAACTTTGGCTGTGTGTCAGTTCCTCCTGAATCCACATTATCTTCATTTCGATGAAGTTAGTCAAGGAAACTGGATCCACCATATGTTGATGCACGGGACATAATCATTCAACCGAAATAAACTGTTAGAGTCGGGGAAGCTGATGTAAACCAGAACTTTGTGCTTGAAGCACAAAATAACTTGTTCAACTTTAGGACGACCTCTCACTGGTCAGTCCGGGAGAATAGCGGAAAGCAGGTGAAGTGAAGAGGGAGAGGACCCGATGCTTGGATGCACACAAATCTAACTTAAAGGATGTCTCCAGAAAATGCACCAATCAATGGCTCTGCTAAGATATTATATATGCATAAGATCCATCGGGCCTTACATGTACAGGTTAGGAGTTACAACAATAAGTTCCTATTACTATTCGCAAGCAATGAAGAGTAATCAGGTAGTTCTCCATCGTCACCGGTTAAAATGCAGACAGATGTAGTCAAATGGAGAATATCAGCCAATTTCAATAGTAAACTTAAAGTTACGTGGAGTAGAGAGGATTGTCGCATTCGTACTGAATAGGCACGAGGACAGTCTTAATCGATATAGAAGTGAAAATGCCGCAACAATGTAATAACAAATTTTATGACTCAAGTAGACAAATATATTCGTGGTTACATGCTTTTTTCGTTTGTGAGTCAAACAATCGAGTGGTAACATCAAATGTTGGCATTAGTACAGAAGGAATTAATCCCAAAATCAAGGTCTTGGAGAGTCGGGAAACAAACTGCGTATCAAGGTTGATCAATAGCCAGTGCATCATTGGTGCTTGACGATGCAAACTGAACATAAATTGGCGATCGACTCCTGCTATGATAGCTGATCCCAATCTGTGTCAGCGATAGCGTAATTCGACACAAACGTTGCCCTCCGAGTCACTTGGCGCCAATCGAGTCTCACGACAACCTTGGCTCGAAATGCCCGTCTAGTCAGATGGTGTACATCAGTTCAGGATTTCAAGTGGACTTGCAGTGTTTGCATCGATTCCGATCATGCTCCAATGCCCGCACAAGTCGTCCATTATTACGGCCTTAGTGCATCATCATTTGGGCACCAAGTTTGCAATTTAAAAGGGTCGGAATGAATTAGCCACTCAGCTTTCACTGAAGAACGAGGTAAGTCAGCTGCATACCCACGGGAATCGCTTCAGGCATACCATGAGGAATGCTTTTGCAGTCTGTGTCCGTCCAATTTGAGACGGCCGAATAGCGTATGAATCTCTCAAGCATCCATTAATTGGATCGAAGTGAAAAAATTGGTTTCGTTGTGTAATCTGTTCTAGCGTTTCCATAAAACTGAAACGAAATCTGAAGCGATCATAGGATTGACCACGCGCTGAAGGATAAAAAAAAGTCGGTGAGACGGAAAAAGGCAGCGGTATCGGAAACAGTCAAATACTGTTCTAATTATCTAGCAACCAGAGTGCGAAAGCTTTCAGTTAGTAAATTAAAGGCTGAGAAGGGTGAACGGTTGGCGAATTCACAACCGCTACAGCGGAATACTCGAAGAAAAGTTAAGTAGAACTACTGGGACACTGTCGTCTGCAGAACATTTGAACCTACATAGAATGTTGATCTCACAACCGTCGCATTGGAAGAGATTCAACGTAAACTCGCTGTGACAATGAAACAAAGATGTTAGACCAGATAGCTTTCTTTTAACGTTCCTGAAAGGTGAAGGCGACTCAATTGTGGGTGGTCTATTCGTAAGCAAGGATGTGGAATGTGTGCTTCCAGGTTGATGACTGTCAACCATCATATCAAGGTTCAAAGAGTAGGAGTACTTTGGAAGAAAATCACTGAAGCATTAACCGTATTTCCATTAACTCAGAACTTCGCGCAGGTATCAATCTGCGGCGACTCAATGGTCTACATGAAGTCTAATCAGTGAGAGCCAAGCTGGCATCCGGCATGGTCGGGGTTGCACTGAACGCACATTTACTCCACATCACAATATGAAACAACAGCGTGTATATGGACGATTCATTACGTTAGTGTTCCTTGACGTGAAAACCAAATTCGACCGGGTTGATGGCTCCAGCTTGTGATATTGCTTATCACTGGACATGAAATGAAAACTTCAGTCTATTCTTACGCCTCTCCACCGTAACTCCCGAGGTCAGCCTATAAGAAGGCATCCTGAGTTTTCCATTACAAGTGAAGCGCGCCGGATTCGCTCTATACCCACAACTCTATGGAGATTCACGAGTGCAATGATCGTAAACAGCTGTCTCCTCTCAGCCTCTTCGGAAGTGTAAATTCCTTAGATCGACCAACTGAGGAGCGTAGAGTACGAAGATGAGATACATCCTATTTTCTGTGTAAGGCCTTCGGGGTAGTTTGACACAGAGGAACACGCTACGGTGCGTGTTTAGCGGCTCCAGTGCTATACATTCTTTGATGTCTCAAGGGACTATATGTTATGCTTGAACGGCTCACTTTGGCTAGTTCGTGCCCTCCATGTGTATGTTGACAACCTTCATCAGTGTGCACTACGTGATGCCGCTGAACCAAGTTGGGGCAAAACCGTGATGTGTCCATGGGGTAGCATAACGACACGAAATTGTCAAAGAGACATGTACAGTGTAATACGTAACTTCGTGGATGAAGACCTAAGGACGAGTCATGTCGGCGGTTACAGATCTTGTATGATAAAGTCAAGTCACACATTCGGCGGTGCTGCTTCACCCAGCTGCTTGCTTATAGCAGTTAACATTGCGCTTCAGATAACGCGAAATATTTTTCTAACCTCTTGCGTTCTACATCATTTTCCTCGCTGCCGTTAGTTAATGTTGCCCTAGAGACGAGGGTATGATAACTAGACTCACTGCATTTCATAGATACAGCTGAATTAAAACAAACAGAAAAATCGTTTAACATTGAGAATTAAACAATTGAATCACAAGCAAGGACTGTCAACTTGCCGAGTGAGGTCGTGAAAAGTGTCAACTGCTCGGTACAGAGTTTCCCACTCCATGTACCCTGTTGATACCGGACAGTTTGTTTCAGATTAGAGCATACTAAAGTTTTGGACTCATTTGCAACAAACCAACGTTGGACAGTTGACACCTTGTCCGTTGCCACAGCCAAATTACTGCTACCCGTGTCCAGCAAAAATTGCAGCTAGGGAGAGAGGAGAGAAAAATTGACCTCCGGAGTATCAAACATTCGGCTTCAATGCACCGTATAGTAAATATGAAGGATTTCCAAAATGCACAAATGAGGCCGGTTCATCCAACACTATGATTCGTATAACTTAGTTTACAAAAAGCAGATTACAAGCATGTAGTTTGAATGTTAACAAATCGAGTCGCGGAGGACAATGCTTATCACAGCGGTTTAAAGCTTATTGGATGGACCGTTCTGAAGAACGGGTCACGTGAATGGGTGGATACGCGCCATCTAAATTAGACCGAGATCCGAAACCGGTCGTAAAGTGTAGTTTTCGTACGGGCAGCACCCAATACCTATCGAAATCGGTTATGGTCTCAGTGAATTGATGAAGATTCACTTGATTGCGAATCAAATGCAATCCATTGACACAACGAGTACTTCAAAATGACCCCTCCAAGCTGTCAGTAATCGCTCCGACAAGCGCTGCCCGCTGCGACTTGGTGGCTTAGGGGTATAAATTTGGGTTGACATCCCAATGGCCTCGGGTTCGAGTGCGTGCTAACTGATGATACCAAATAAGCTCGAAACAGGTTATATAGTGTTGTGTTCTCGAGTGGACAGCAATCAATGCCCGCCTGCTTGGGTTACGGCCTTAGTGATCGCAGTGACCAAGGTTTATTTAAATGCGAATCACGGTCCACATAGAGATTGCGCACCGCGATCCATGCGCACGACCAGTGTTTCGAAATAACCTATTCAAGCTATCATATCGCTCTCCTGATCTTTTGCAAATGACTTTCTGACAGGTTGGTCGCTTTCTATTGCGTCATAGCCTGAGAATGCACTCCTGAAAATCAGCTCAGTGAATTTGAACTGAGGGCGTTCTCTGCCCTAATCTTCGATTGACTTTGTATGCGATTTAGCATTGTTCACTGTCTGTCATTTTTTCTCCTTTCGTCATGGTGACGAGAGCAAGTACAATTGTGTCAACCATCCTCCAGCACAAACATAACAGTTGTGTAGCTGAAACGAAATGAGATCTTGCAACTGTGCCTGGAGCGAAACAGCAACCACACCGTTGCTAATGCTGGGTTAACCATAAATAGCCATATTGCGGCACGTCGCCCGCTCGTATACACGCCAAATGTAGTCAAAAACGTTGCAAAGCCGCAAGATGTACGCGGACTGGAGAAATCTTTATTGGGATACGTCGGTTTGCATGTCTCTTTCATCATCTCGAGTTGTGATGAGTAGTTCTATCGGACAAATTACGGTCTACTCGTACAAAGCTGACAAGCTGTCTCGCGGTCCATCAAGTTGTACAGCGAAGTTCAGTTGGTATTTATCTCAGTCGCCACATTCCGTCTGCTACGCGTTCAGGATATCTGTTCAACGGTTATGGTAGGGGCCCCAGTAGTCATCATGCGAAGTTATTGGTGCCATAACAGTATCCCACACACATAAAACAACCCTGACTAGTTCATCAAGCCAGTCTCAGACTACCCCGGTCACTCAAAAGAGCCGCCTTAGAAGACGGATAATAAAAATAGGCCGCTGTGTTGTAACTTCGTATATTCGTCCGTTTCTCTTATGACCTTCACGATCGTCACAACTAAACTCTCTTTCACAGTTCTCAACGTAACTGAAGATATCAGCAGTAAATTAAGCTTAGCAACCGTTACAATAATCGGTAGTGAGTGTACAATGCTTATCCTCATTTGAAGTCTCCGTTGATCCCCAATCGATCGTCTAAGCACCTTAGCTCGATTAAACGGCATTTCAAGTTTAGTTCCGAGCACAAGGCCATTGATGAGTATTTCATTCAACCGTGTACAAAACGTATGCTACTTCTAGGAAGCACTAACCTCGAGTGAACGGAATGATAACGTGCCATTTGGTGTTCTTTAGCTCCTGGATTACAATGGACCCAAAAAGATCATAGCACCATCACTTTCAGGTGGCATAATTGTTCCTGTGACTAACAAATGCTTTCAAAACACACGCCACGACTTAGTATTTTCCGGTGCGTTGCCGATTTTCCTTTAATCTAATAGTGAATCGCAGCAAACCATCCCACTGACTGACAACAGACAGCCAACTGCAAACCTCTGGTAAGTGTCTATCAGCATTCTCCGCGGACTAGTTTGACATCAAATGGCTTTGAAGTTGTCTGGTACATATGAAATAAAATCCCCGTTAACGTGCACCGAGTGGAAATTTTGCCCTGCGACACAATCAGTCGTCGATGCACCTGAACATTGGAAATCCGAAAATCCGGTGAACCTGTTAGAATACAGAAGAATTCCTGTCGGCTCCAAGCACAGTGAGACCGGACGTGCTATCAGGCGCGAGGTGGAACAGAGTTTACACACTGACAAGAAAGCTCGGTTGACTTGAAGGGATCAGAAAGTGGAAGCAGACAAGTTGCACTAACCCATCTAACGAATCTGGGTCACTGGTTTCAATAAATTATCCACCGACAGGACAATAACAGGGAACATTTGCGACCCTTTTCGCAACGATAAGGTTGTTTGTCTGGATGGCCGAAGTACAGCCAGTCGACCTTTGGCACACAAACTTCTTCGCCCACAAGTGGCGCACGCCGAACCATGACCGCCTAGTTTAGAGGCACTAGTTGAATTTGAGGTTGGTGACGCGATCACAGACCCCAACGGTTTCCGTGCTATTTGCCACTCACGTCTTCGTTATGTGAGAATGGTGGTAAAGCCATGCCAAAATTTTTATCCATCTATGGAAGTAACAAGATTGCCGCAGCCAAATGGACTGGATGGATCACAGTGATAACACGCGAGAACGCAGTCTAATCGTTTGTGTAAGCCACAGGGATACCAGCCTGATTCGAGGAGTGACAAATTTGTCGACCACCGTCCTCTTCCGATGCCATTTTGCGGGACGGAAATCCCGAATGAGGAAGAAACAGTGAAGTTTTCAATTGCGACGAGTGGAGATACTAAAGCAACTTCCCACCTGACACAAGGCGACTATAGCGGTAAGAACGGGCTGCAATGCGAGTGAACATTTAGTGCACTTCTCTCTCGGAAACTGCAGGTTACACCAAGATCTTCAGCCAGTTGCTGTGCGTTTTCACGTTGATGAAAGTCTTCGGTATGTCTATCCTGTTTCTAATATACATATCGCGAAAAAGTACATGGAGCCTTCCATCAGCAGTTTCAGGCTCTGAGGTCCTGGACAGAGGAAATCAGATGATCCGGACTACGCTATCCACATCGTCTTGGTGTTGCTCACGTTCCAGGCAGTATTCAACTATGGATAAATCTTGAGAAGGTCCCATCCTTTGACGGAGGTGCGGATACACTTGCAGATGATCGATTATGGTGACTTTCCGAGATATGAAGGAAACCTATAAGTCTGTTGATCGTGCCACCATGTAGCACTGCCTATCCATCAGGAGCGTGCCAGGAAAACTCCTTCCCATGCTGACAGTTCTCTATTGAAGATTATGAGGACCGATAGGAGGATACAGGAAGCAGTGTCTCGTGTTCCCACAGAAAGTGGGGTTCATCATGGCTCGCCCGTATTGTCTTTCCCCTTCAAACCGGTGATCGAAATGATCTGTTCTCTTAGCCTCATCTGTGGAAATCCCGATAAATCCTGAGTATGCGTACGACAGCTCGCCATGGGTCAGACTCAGGGGCGTTTAAATGGGGAAAAAACGTAATCCCGCATATTTCGGTAGGTATTTTACACCTTCTAGATGTAAAGCGTTGTTGCGAGACTGGAAGCACGCGCCACCGGTTCTTGCCACTAGCTAACAGCCCTGGCAGTTGTGTTATCTCTGTTAATTAAACCATTGATGTCACTTCACGCATCATTTATTCAAACGCAGGGACACAAGCCTATCAGTTGAAGATAGAGCATGCGCCGTTGCGGTACCGCTTTTTACCATATGGATCAGAAACATGGTCACTTAGCGTCGAAGACATTAAATGAATGACTGTCGTTAATCAGTGCTATTTGTGAACTGTTGCTCACACCTGGTGGAGACACCAGGTGACCAATATGGAGGTCCATCAGTTGGTGGTTTCTGGGAAAGCCTCAAGTGTCTCGCTGAGATGAACCACTTAGTTGACTTGGTCATGAGCAATGTGTATCCAATGGCCGACTTTCTCGATGCTAACATCATTAACAACAGTCCATCAGCCATTTGAACTGATGCTCCAGTGCCGTACAATCATGATGACTTACGGAAAGAAAATAAGGGGGAGAGAAAGGAGACCTGGCGTAAAACATAAACTGCTTTCGAGTACGCTGGCTTGAGGTTCAACATGTATGTTGTCATGGTGAAATCGAGACAGAGTTTGCCGATATATTAGAAACTGGGGCAGCACAACATATCTGCCAACCGACGCGCATTACACCGCACTCAAATCGGTGGTTCATGGATCTGACGTTGACTAGCTGCGAACAGCGAGTGGGTGATGTGCTGGTCCTGGTGTTTATAGCAGCGAGTTATCACTCAATTATCATGACCAGCCCTAATCTTTCGTTGCCCTGCCGGCGTCCGCTAGAGCCATTCTACAAAAACTGGGAGACTGATTTCGTTGGTCTCATTCGAGCCGCTAGTCAAGTGGACTGGTCGCTGTCGCAGGATTTATCTGATGAAGCCTGTTGGTCGGTAATAAAAGCCGGCATTGGTTTGACAAATAGTATGGCCAGGTGGCTCGCCAGCTACGCATATTGTGGAACAAATCCCTCCTGTATGGCTCTGCCCACGATAAAAAGGTGTACAAAAGGTAACGGAATGTATGCAACAGTACCGTCGCAACGAGACTGGACCCTAACGTGGTGCGACGGTTTGCGTACCTCATTGACCCATTGAGCTATACTGGGTGATGCCCCCGAGCATCTTGAGAGCTACTCCTACCAGGTTGGTCAATGGTGAGAGGTCAGACAAACTCAGTCTCCTGGTCCTCCAGATGGGGGGTTTGAAATGAGATGGCGCCTATTTTTGTAAATCTAAATCACTG